ACAGCTACGAGGACTGATGGGAAGCCTAGCGTGGCCCAGCAATCAGGCAGCGCCGCACTTGCAGTGCAGCGTCAGCCTGGGACAAGGTACGATCAACGAGGGCTCTACCGTGCAAGACCTGGTGGAGGCCAACAAGACGCTGCGGTTTGCCAAGGCCAACAGCGACGTGTGCCAGGTGTTTCCCAAGATATGTGACGACCCGGACGAGGTGACGTTCATTTGCATGACGGACGCAGCGTGGGCAGTTCGACGTGATGGGAGCTCGCAAGGAGGCTACCTCATCCTGGCTACTCACAGGCGCGTGCTCAGCGGCGAGACCGTCAAGTACGTGATCGTCGACTGGCGCTCGTGGAAGCTACCGAGGGTGAGTAGATCCTCACTGGCGAGCGAGGCCCAAGCTGCAGCCGGACGCGTGGACGCGCTCGAGTACGTGAAGGTGCACTACAGCCTGATGCTCGACCCCACGCGGGACCCGAGGCTGAACGGCACCATGACGGTGCTGGGCAAGAGTGCGCTTGTGGTGGACGCGAAGGCTCTCTACGACGCAGCCCAGAAGCCCCACGTGCACAACTTCGACGACAAGCGGACGGGCATCGAGGTGCAGGTGCTCAAGGAGCGCATGACGGCGAGCGCGACGGGCTGGTACTGGGTCAGCTCGGAGCGCCAGTTTGCAGACGGCTTCACCAAGCTGGCAGCGCGACAGTTGTTGGCAGATCGACTCAGGTCTGGAACGATCAGCCTCAGGTTCGACGAGAAGTTCCAGGCCGCCAAGAAGAAGACCGCTAAGGACCGACAAGCGGAGGCCAAGAGGTTCGCCATATCCAAGCCGAAGACCAACGCGATGACTGCTCTGGCGACCATGACGTCTATGACGACAGCGGCGGCCAGCGAGGTGAAGATCTACGAGAGCGAGGTGGAGCAGGCCCTGGTGGAGTTCAAGTGGACCGAGAGCCAGAGGATTGTGATCAGCATACCGCTCAGCACGCTCGTGAGAGGTCTCCTCAGCATGCTGATGGTGATCGTGTTTCTGGGTTTCGTGTGCTACGCAGTGCTCAAGGCTGCAGGAACGGCGAGGCCGGTCCCAGCTTCCCCACAGCCAGGCAGTGAGAAGGAGTTTGTACCAACTCAGATCCCGAAGGAGAAGAAGGTGAAGTTGAGTACGGTCAAGTGGGACATCGGTTGCCAGGGACCGGTCAACTACACGAGTGTTGGACGTCCCGACGGACAGTACGGACAGTACAAACATGTGACGAATGGATTTCGGCGAGGCTGGGAGGTTACCCGTGAGCTGCACACTGTGCAGCAGAAGCCGCACCATGAGTGACGGTGCCCCGGCAAATCTTGATTTGCATCCTGTTCCAGTCTCGTGCTTTTCTTTTCCTTATTCTCTCAATGAAGCTATTTCAGCAGAGGTATGCGACTACGTTGTTTGGCGCAGTCTCTCTCTCTCGAGCAAGGCAGAGTTGGTGTCCGGACGCCAGTTTGGGCGGTCGAGCCGACGCTAATGATCTGCGAGCTGCTGTGGTGTTCTTTTATTTTTCACGTAATTGAGGTGAGAGTTTGACAAGTTTTCATTCCCTTTCTTACCAGTGTGAATTGCACTCCGTACAATGTGTTTTCAGAGGTGTTTCTGACTAACATGTTAGAGCAAGCACCCTCCCCCTTCAGCAGCGTAGCAGCATGTGTAAAGCAGGCATGGCAGTAAGCAGGATGCACTGTGCCGTTTGAGCTCGAGAGGCCTCTCGACTGACCAGAAACGCTATCTTCACCCTCCCCGCACGCAGAGCGATTGTGGACCAGGGTGCTCGAGGAGAAGTTGGCAGGTTTCGGAGTTCGATTCGAATACGATTGGAGACTTAGAGTGCTTCGACCGATTCACAGCCCGCGGTGCTGGAGCGCACTGGGACCCTCGGGTCAGAGCCGATGGAAGGGACGAAAGCGGGGTCGACCAATGGCGGAGCGGGCAGTTGGCACTCGAGCGCACCAGCTGGACAGTGACAGACCTCAAACACACACGTACACACACGCACACACACACACGAGCGCACGCACACACACATACGCACACTCACGCACGCACACACACACACACATACGCACAGACACACACACACATGCACGCACGCACGCACGCGCACACACAAACATACATACACACAAACACCCAAACAGGCACAAACACACAAACACACACAAACACACAAATTCACAAACTCACAAACTCACAGACCCACAGACACACAATAACACACACCACACACAAACACACACACAAACACACGCAAGCACACACGCACACACGCACAGACGCACGCACGCACACACACAAACGCTCAAACACACACACACACTCACGAACCCACACGCTCACACACACGCACAAACATCCGAACACACAAACACACAACAACGCCAACACACACACACACACTTACACGCACACAAACACACACACAAACACACACACACACACTTCAACATACACACGCACATACACACTCACAAGGACGCACGCGCACACACACACATTCGCACACACATACACACAGACACACTCACGCACACTTACACACACACTCACACACACACTCACACACACTCACACGCGCACGCACACGCACACACATACACACGTACACACGTACACACACGCACACACACACGCACACGCGCATACGCGCACACGCGCACACACGCACACTAACACACGCACGCGCGCACGCACGCACGCACAAACGCAAACACGCACACACGCACACACGCACACATGCACAAACGCACACACGCACACTCGCACACACGCGCACACAAACACACACGCACACACGGACACACGCACTCACGCGCACACGCAAACACGCACATACGCACACACGCACATACACGCATACACACGCACACAGATACATAGACACACAGACACACACAGGCACACTCAGGCACACACATAGGGACACACACACCCACACATCCATACACACACCCACGCATCCACACACCCACACACCCACACACCCACACACCCACACACACACCCACACACCCACACACCCACACACCCACACACCCACACACCCACCCGAACAAATACAAACACAAACACGCACAAACACACACATACACACAACCACGCAACACGTACACACACGCACGCGCACGCACGCACGCACACGCACGCGTGCACGCACGTACGCCACGTACGCCACGCGCGCCGCGCACGGCACGCACGCCACGCGCGCGCACACACAACACACACCACACACACCACACACACCACAAGCTTCACACCACACACACAACACACACCACACGCCACGCACACAAACACACACACATGCACAAGCACACGCAAACACACAAACACACCGGCACACACACACTCACAAACTCAACGGCCCACAGGCACACAAACACACAACCACACGAACACAGAATCGCACAAACACACAAATTCAAAACATACAACACACAAGCACTCGCAACACACAAACACACAACCACACAACCACACAAATGCACAAACATACAACCACACACAAGCACACAACCACACACAAACACACAAAGACACAAGCACACACCCGCACACACAAACACACACACAGACAAACAGACACACGCACACCACACACACACATTCACAACCACACACACAAACACACAAGCACACACACAAACACAAACAAACACACACAAACGCACACACAACTACACACAACCACTCACGAGCACACACGCAAACACACAAATACACACAAACACACAAACACACAAGCACACAAACGCACGCAAACACACAAACACACAAGCACACAAACAAGCACACAAGCACACACCCACACAACCACACACAAACATACAAGCACACAGACACAGAAACACAGAAACACGAAAACACAGAACACACACCATACACAAACTCACACACACAAACACACACGCACACAAACACACGAGCACACACCCACAGAACACACAAACACAAACAAACACACAACCACAAACACACACAAACACACACAAACACACACAAACACACACCCTCAAGCTGACACACAAACACACACAAGCTCCCAGAAACACACACACACGCACACAAACACACGCACACCCAAACACACACAAACACACAAACACACGCACAAACACACAACCACACACAATCACACAACGACACAACCACACAAACCCATAACTCAAACACACAAACACACGCACACAAACACAAACACACAAACACACTAGCACACAAACACACACGAACACAAACACACAAACACACAAATACACTAACATACAAACCCGCAAACAAACAAGCACACAAACACACACGCACACAAACACACAAGCAAACAAACACACACAAACACACACACAAACACAGACCACGCACACGCACACGCACACGCACACGCACACGCACACACACGCGCACGCGCACACGCACACGCACACGCACACGCACACGCACACGCACACGCACTCACACACACGCACACACACGAACACGCACACACACACATAAACACACACAACTACTCAAACACACACACACACACGTACGAACACGCACACACACTTTCATACTAACTCACTTACACACGTACGCATTACACACTTTCACTCACTCATACACACACACGCCTTTTGGTGTCGCGGCCAGTGAGGGGCGATATGCACAAGAAACTACCGTGAGGGTACGTATGCACACATACACACACGGCTAAACTCATGACCGAGGGAATGGTCTCTCGACTGCGGCGTTCGGAGCGGTGAAGGCGAGGATCGCATGGGTTTCTGGCGGCTCTGGAATCCCAGGGCGGGCCCAACTCGGAACGTAACGTTCTCCGCAGAACGCCGACTCCAGCACCCCGAAAATGATGGAGCCAGAGGAGAGAGGGGAGGGGGGGACCGCTCCACCTGGCTCCCAGACCCAGGTCAGCCAGGGCTGGTTCCCGTCAGCGCTGACTCCAGTTGCGTGCGCCCCGAGCCGCCCTATCCTCGTCCACGCCAGCGTCGGCCCGGACTATCACGCCTCTGGAGAGGACCGAGTCTCCGAGGTGGCTGCAGTCGACTCGGTTGCCCTCCCTGTAGGGCGCGACGCAGCGCACATAGCGCGGGTGGAAGGCCACCACCCTCGCAGAGAGAAGCAACAAAACAAAAGCGGCGGAAACAACAAGTTTGAGAGGCCCGCGCTGTTTTCTTGGGTCGGCGCTTCTTCTTTTGGCGCGGCGCAGACAGCCTAGGCTACAGCCGTTTCGGCACTGCCGATTGAGAAGTTGGGCCTGTTCCTGCGAAACTTCGTCCAGCGCGATGGCTTCTACTGTAAGCGCGCTGCAGAGCGAGTCAAGAATCAAGAAACGCGCCGCGGACCATCAGGGGCTTAAATGTGTAGCCTCCCAAAGCTGGATCCCCCTCCCAGCCACCCGTCTTCCGGCGCCGCCAAGGATGCGGAGAACTGGCAGTCGATCGCCGACCCGAGAAATCCACGCGGGCCTCCGCAGGCTCATGCTCATGCCATCTTTCGGTTCTGAGGATCATCCGTTCTCCGTCCACCCACCTCCCCATCCTCTCTTGCCCTCACAGGAGGGGCAGAGAGGCAAGGGAAAGGGACAAGCTGGGCGCTCTCGCGCCACATCCGACATCCTGCCCCTCCCACCCATCCCTCCCCATTGTGTTGAACCCTCTTCTATCCCTCCCAGTACCCCGGTCCCCAGATGACCGTTGCAGGATACCCGCCGTTTGCTACGCAATCGGGACGGGTGACCTCTGTACACTGGCGGTGGAGGAGGAGGAGCATGGTGCGGCCTTGAGGAGGAGGATGAGGAGCAGCGGTGCTGCCTGGAGGAGGAGGAGGAGGAAAAGGAGGAGGAGGAGGAGGAGGAGGAGGAGGAGGAGGAGGAGGAGGAGGAGGAGGAGGAGGATGGGGAGGACGTGCATCGCGGGCTGGGAGGGTTTCGAGGATTCGTTCCGACAGGAGGCAGTCCGCAGCTTCGAGCCTCGAGAAGGAGGAGTCGGCTACACGTAAGAGTGACCCGAGGCAGGAGTGACCTTTGGTACGCGACTTTCGGGGGCCGCGGGGAGGCCGAACTGGAGCGTGCAAGAGAAGGAGGAGGAGGAGGAGGAGGAAGAGGAGGAGGAGGAGGAGGAGGAGCAGGATCATAAGTATAAGGAGGGGGAGGGGGAGGGGAATGGGAGGGGGAGGGGGAGGGGGCAAGCTAGGCGCGCTCGCGACATACCTGACGTCCTAACCCTCCCTTTCATTCCTTACCATGGCGTAGATCTCCTCTGTAGTCGCACAATCGGATGTCGTAGCATGGCGTAGCATTACATGGCATAGCATGTTGTTGAAGATCAACGCGTAGCATGACATAGCATGGCGTGGCGACGCCCCAAAATGGGGGGGGGCTTCTGCGACCCCAAAAAACAACGACTCGACACCGAATGTGTAATCACTTCCGATGGTTTCTTCGGGGGCCATTTTCCAGAGTTTGGTGCCTATTTGGCAGGACCGAAAACCATGCTGGCCGTGTCATGGCGCTGCAAATCAGGACGCCAGCGCTGCAGCGGGAGCACGATTCGGAACGAGCGGAAGCACGGAAATGAGGCCAGCGCTGCAGCGGGAGCACGATTCGGAGGACGCGGAGCCCGACATAGCATGGCGTGGCGACGCCCCAAAATGGGGGGGGGGCTTCTGCGACCCCAAAAATCAACGACTCGACACCGAATGTGTAATCACTTCCGATGGTTTCTTCGGGGGCCATTTTCTAGAGCTTGGTGCCTATTTGGCAGGACCGAAAACCATGCTGGCCGTGTCATGGCGCTGCAAATCAGGACGCCAGCGCTGCAACGGGAGCACGATTCGGAACGAGCGGAAGCACGGAAATGAGGCCAGCGCTGCAGCGGGAGCACGATTCGGAGGACGCGGAGCCCGACATAGCATGGCGTGGCGACGCCCCAAAATGGGGGGGGCTTCTGCGACCCCAAAAATCAACGACTCGACACCGAATGTGTAATCACTTCCGATGGTTTCTTCGGGGGCCATTTTCTAGAGTTTGGTGCCTATTTGGCAGGATCGAAAACCATGCTGGCCGTGTCATGGCGCTGCAAATCAGGACGCCAGCGCTGCAGCGGGAGCACGATTCGGAACGAGCGGAAGCACGGAAATGAGGCCAGCGCTGCAGTGGGAGCACGATTCGGAGGACGCGGAGCCCGACATAGCATGGCGTGGCGACGCCCCAAAATGGGGGGGGCTTCTGCGACCCCAGAAATCAACGACTCGACACCGAATGTGTAATCACTTCCGATGGTTTCTTCGGGGGCCATTTTCTAGAGTTTGGTGCCTATTTGGCAGGACCGAAAACCATGCCGTGGCATGGCGCTGCAAATCATGACGCCAGCGCTGCAGCGGGAGCACGCTTCGGAACGAGCGGAAGCTCGGAAATGAGGCCAGCGCTGCAGCGGGAGAACGATTCGGAACGAGCGGTGTCTCGAAAGTGAAGCCAGCGCCTCAGCGAGAGCAGCATTTTGAACAACAGCCCAAGCGAAAACCCGTTTCCCGGGAATCCTGTGTAAAAGCCAGTGCGCGGAGGGGGGCCTGCCGTTTCCCCGACGTCACCAGGGGAGAGGGGAGAGTAGTATTCATATGGTGTAATTGCAGAGGGAGGGGGAGGAGGAGGAGGAGGAGGAGGAGGAGGAGGAGGATCAATCAATCAATCAACCATTGCGAGCCTCTGTCACTCAGCAGTCCTGGTGACCTCTGCAGGCTCTTGGATGCGAACTATCGCCTACCAGCGGCCGACGCTGGAAGGATGGCCCTCTCTGGCCGAAGCGGGACCGCTGTAAGGGGAACGCCCAGCGGCCCGCACGCGGCACCATCCTTCGCGAAAGGAACAAGCACGGGCGGACAGAGCAGGGGAAGGAGGGAGGACAAGTGAGCAAGGTCGCAACGCTTCTCACTTCTCTCTTGCAATATGGAAAACCCCGAGCCTGGGCGGCCCGCACTGCCGCGGCCCGCACTGCCGCGGCCCGCAGCGGACTGGTAAAGAAATGCCCCGCCAGATTTTGATTCCCGTTGCTCTGTGTCTACAGGCGACCCCAATGCCAGAGTCACTCTGCTGGCGGCATGGGATTGGGGTGGAGATATCTACTAGCGGCACGATTGCTCTGATTCGGCACTGTCTCTACATTGACTTCTAGAGCCTGGCCGGCCCGCACTGCTGCGGCCCGCACTGCCGCGGCCCGCAGCGGACTGGTAAAGAAATGCCCCGCCAGATTTTGATTCCCGTTGCTCTGTGTCTACAGGCGACCCCAATGCCAGAGTCACTCTGCTGGCGGCATGGGATTGGGGTGGAGATATCTACTAGCGGCACGATTGCTCTGATTCGGCACTGTCTCTACATTGACTTCTATTCTGCGCACCTGCTCACTACGCTGCTGGAACTCTTCAAATGACATGATGGCGGGGGGATCTGCACTGCCAACCTGATGCAACAAGACACTGCGGCTGCCGTTAAAATACCTGAGGATGGGGTGGTGGACGCGGGCCTGCAGGGCCTGTAATTGTATGCCCGTGAGGCGGCCTTCCCTATACATCTCTGCCATACGCTCAGATCCGTTCACTGCTTCAAGACGCAACGGCCTCAGAACCCCTCCCCGTCCTGGTCGCTGTCTACCTCGATGGTCTGCCTGTCGCTCTCGATCCCCATGCGCTTGAGCAGCCTCTCCGCCTCTCTCTCCAGCGCCCCCTTGGGGGGTCCGCCCGCCTTGTACTCCCCGCCCTGCTTGAGGATTGCCATGCAGAAGGCCTGGTGGAGCGGGATCGTGTTGGTCTGGTCGGAGGTGTTCCTCACTCCATTGACCTGGGAGTTGGGGCCCATCATGAACTGCAGCTTGAACCTGGTCGGCTTGTCGTCCTTCTTGCGGTCGTACCAGCAGCCCTTGATGCGCAGGAACCTGATCTGCTCCTGCAGCTGGATCAGGCCCTCCTCCTTGCTGAGGCTCGTGATCACCCCCCAGTAGGTCTTGAACGCCTTGATCGACGGCTCGTCCAAATTCGTCATCTGGCAGAAGTGCTTCAGGAGAGCCAGGAAGACGTGCGGCCACGGGGGGCCGTTGCCGTGCTGCTTGCCCTTCTTCTTGCAGTCCTGGGCGTAGGCCTTGCCCGCCTGCTGCATGATGCCGATCAGCGGGGCGCCCGCGGGGAGCAGAAAGCACGTGAAGCAGGCGCCTGTGAGGTCGGCGAGCTCCCTGGAGTTCGTGATACTGAGCTTCGTGAGGATGGCGAGCAGCGCCTTGAAGTTGCCCATCTTGAGCCCGTCGCGCTTGACCTGCTCGGCCAGCCGCCCCTTCTTGTTCTCCTGGGCGTCCGAGGTGTCGTCCAGCTCCTTGCGCTTGTTGGCCGTGCCGATGATCATCCAGTCTGGCGCTGCCGCCATCTCCGAGCCTCCTGCTGCCTCTTGCTCGTTGGGCCTCGCCGCTGCTGCCGCGCCCTCTCCTGGCATCGTCGAGTGCTGGGAGGTGGAGAAAATGCGTACGGATGTGGGCTCGCAGCGGAGCCCCAGCAAGTATTTGAGCCTTACACAATGGGCACTCATCAGTGTTGTCCTGGCCTGGATGTTTGAAGGTCGTACTTCTTTGTGTGACGCATATACCCGTTTCGAAGGAGTCGATGAGGTGCTTATAGACCGAGTTACGGCTCTCGAAAACGCTCTCGCAGACAAAACATACATTAGAAGTAACTGCCAGACCAAGGATAGATCTGAACTCATGCCCCCTGCTGAGGTGAACCAATAACTGCCTGGAGGTATGGAAAGAACGAGTACATCCTGGTACTGAACATGGTAACATATCTCCTGCTGCTTGTGGCGGGTCGGGTCGTGATTCCTGAGGCTGAGGATGAGCATATCCAGGATGGGGGATAGCTACACTTAACCACTTAGCTCGCAACTTCTTTGGGTCAAACTGGGTGAACCATTCGACTAAGCTCTCGTCCTGGAATATTCTCATTGGACTGCTATCAAATTCTTGTACATGTTCATATTCGTCATCTCCTAAGTCAGCCAGGGAGTTAATATCTGATATTACTCTACGAGCCCAGGGGCAAGCATCTTCTGTAAGACGCTCGTCCTGTCCAACGATCTGCACTCCTCTCTGCGACTCGATTTGCATGGTGCCAAACAAAGCTGCCCATTCTGCCAGGTGACGATCAGGTTGTTGAACCCAGCGCTGATACCACTTGATACGCCGTGCGCGCAGTTCGATCTCAAGTGGTGCCATCTTCCAGTATCTACAAACCTCTTCGTTACTGATCGAAACCTTATGCCCGTTCTGCTCCTTAGTGGCCAGCCCTCGCATAGCACGTCTAGCATACATATTTACTCTGCTCTGCAATCGCTGTAGTTGAGCAGGCGTTGGGAGGAAAGCCTCGACGCCTGATAACGCAGACCCAAGGACACGACATAGGAAGACAGCACGTCGTTCAACATAAGGGACTCGTGCCTGGTACCAGAATCTCCCCATACTGTGATAACCAACATCAGTGGCCCTAAGCCTATTTTCCAGTTCAGAAGAGAAAGCTCCATCACCTCTAACGATACTACCCAGGTACTTAGCAGAATCTTTGGGTTGTCCAGCTAACCTAATATTGCCAGTCCGTATTTGTTTTCTGCAGTTCTGAGCTTGATCCCCAAAAAGTGCAAGCACTGTTTCATTTTTTGTTGGGTTAAGTTGATAGTTGTGTTCAGTCAGTCGTCGCGATAACAAATCATCGTACTGCAAGGACTGCCTGCTGACCTCCTGCGCCAAGTCTGTCGTCTGGTCCGCAATAAGTAACTTCTTGGCGGCATCATCTACATATGAATGAAATGATAGGTCCATAACCATCTCCTGATCATCATCTGCTGGGAGCCTGACCGTGCACCACGTAGCTGTTTCGTCCTGGGAGTTATGATGATCCTGCTGTGCTCGCGCGAAGACCCCTCCTATGTCTCGTGTGAATACCTTAACTACCCAGGGATCTCCTTGTAGCGCTCCAACCGTAGGCTTGGCGAAAAAAAACCCATCCAGCCCCGAGAAACACACCGTGGATAACTGCAGCCTCTGGACCCCAAACCTAGCCTCCCCCTCCTTCATGATGCTCTGGTTGGCCTCCAGGATAGCCTCACGAGAACTGCTACCGAACGCGTTCGTGATGTCCTTATGCTCCGTGACATGCCGTATCCCTAGCCTCCTAAGCCTCCATCCAACTGACTGCTGGATCATGATGGCCGTCTCGCGGCGCCTCCTGGGAACACAACCGTGGGCGAACTCGGGTTCCTGGGTGATCTGCACTGGGTCCAGGCTGGTGGCGATGAAGGCTTTGCCAAAGGGGCACAAAACGTGTATGACCCTCTTCCAATTAGTGGCCACCCCCATCGACAAGCTCCAGACTGCTGGTGGCTGACTACTTCGATATATCTTATGTACAAATATCACCAGGAATCGCCTTAGAGCACGCAGATCAAGGTCTGGAGCCTGATAACCTACACCTCGGAACCTCCTCGACGTACGCCGGTACGGGTGGAACAGCATCCAGAACACTTCTATAGGAAGGGACCAGGGTGGCGACGTTCTTCGTTTGGCAGCCCTGCGCAGGTATTGTCCTATCAGCTTCAATTTTTGTCGAGCCCATTCCAGGCCCTCCTGGGTCCAGGGGGAAGTAAACTGCTGAGCCTCCAATCCGTGATCAGGGTGATAAACGTAGTCATCGATCATCTGGGGCCAGTCGACTATCTCTGCCTGCATCCCTCCCTCCCCTGAAGACAGCTGGAAGCGAGCGTAGAGGTCCGCCGCCGTCGGCATCAGCTCGGTGGCCCGACGGTAGTTCCTCTTCCGAGGTCCCGTTCCTCGTCCCGACAGCAGCCGACACAACCTCGCGACCTCTCCCTGCCGATTCTGAGACCGTGCTGCGAGCAAGTCCGAGGTGAGGTCCCGACGCCAGAGGACAACGTAACGTCTGCGTAGCCTCCTCAGCTCCCTGCTCCTCCTCCTGAGCTCCTCCTTGATGTTCTGCTGCTGCTCCTCGTCCTGCTGCTGCCCCAACTGCTCCCTCATGTCCCTTCTCTGTTGCAGCAATTGTTTGACCTCCTGGGACCGTTCGCGATAACCTGGAGAATACTCTGGAGTAGCAGTAAAAAACCTGGATGCTTCCTGGTTAAGGATGTTGACAAAGTAACCCCATTCTGCATTCGTAGTCTGTTCGTCTCTCTGAAGAGTCTCGATGTCATGTTCAGCAGCAAGAAGCCGTGATTCAACTGCCTGTAAAAATTCCGCTCGCTGGGCCCCAGTCCGAAGTGCATCCCCTAACGCTTCCTTGTTCCACTTGTGCGTGGTGGGGACAAGGCCGAGCCTCTGGTGAGTGGGGATCTGGTTCGGGAGGCAGAGAACATCAGCTAACGAGTACGATATTCTGACATGTACTGGGATATGATCTCGTGGGTCGACAGTGTGGGCTAGTTGTAACCTTCGTGCCATTCTTCGTAGTGGGCCAGCGGCCGTAACATTAGGTAGGCAACATTGCGGTAAGCACACAAAGTCGAGTTGTGAGCTGTTGCGTGCGTTCCCATAGAAGGTTGGTCCAGCTCCTTTGTGGGTGTTGACAGCAACTAGATCAAGGTCCTGTAACATAGCCAGCACAACGTCAGCTGAGTATTTTTGTTTAACAGGCGTAACTGCCGTCCCGATGGCGGGGTGACGTACTGGAAGCCATTCATCACTGCCTGACCGACGTTGTAGTCCAAAGCCTGAGTTAACATCCGCACATAATACTGGAACACATCTGTGGGTGCCCCATATTGGTAACTGCCTGGCCCACTGGATTAGCAAGTCACATGTCTTGTAGTAGGTTGTGATCTGCTTGGAGTAATTGGGGACGGGCGGAAAGTATAAGCAGACGACCGCAACGTCATAGCTTCGCGCTCTTGCACGCAATGCCACTCCACGCCCAGCTAACGAGGGAGGAGCACACCAGGTATGAGTTACTGACCTGCGGGAAATCCTGGGACCTAACAGGATGCCACAACCTGCAGACTTATTTGTAAGTGGTCCCCTCTGCCACCCTGCCTCCAGCATCCACCTATCTCCCGCTCTCCTCCAACCCACCGCCTCCCCATGCCTCTTGCTGCCCGTGCCAGTCAACCCGATGAAATCCATGTTGGGGGCCTGGGCGGCGATATCGGTGAGCCGATCGGAGGTGGAGGCCGACTGGGGGTTATACTGCAAGAAAGAGAGGCTGTTCATACCGTTGATGGCCGTCCAGCCGCTGAGGAACAGTAGGAAGCGGGAGGCCATTAGAAGAAAACCAAGGTGGGAGAAGAATGAACCATTCTAAGCGTCTTAGGTGTGGTAGGCTTCATTGTTCAATGTGGAAGTGAGGGAAGCGCCTGTGCCGAGACGCTTAGGAGGAGGAGGAGGAGGAGGAGGAGGAGGAGGATGAGGAGGAGGAGGAGGAGGAGGAGGAGGAGGAGGAGGAGGAGGAGGAGGAGGAGGAGGAGGAGGAGAAGGAGGAGGAGGACTGAACGCAGCCGCGAAGGAGGCAGAGGCGACGCAATAGTCGACCGAGCCGAACATGGCCGCGGCGATCGAAGCGCGGACGCCCCCGCGGCCTGAGACCCAGCGCGCCCGCCCGCAGGGCGCCCTCGCAGCGGCCGCAGAAGCTGTTGAAGGAGCCGAAAGAGGCCCACGAAGGGACGAAGGGGCACACCACGACGGCCGTCGTGGCCCCGCCCTCGCCTCGAGCGTCGCCAGGCGCGGCCCCGCCAGAGGCGGCCCCAGCTTCTCCAGCGAGGCCCAACTGCGCTTCAGAGGCCCGGGGGGGGGGGGGGTCGGCCCTGGAGCCGACCTTCCCTTTGAGTACGTTGAGGGCCCCAACTCGACGATGAGGGTCGGCTGTGGTCCGAGGGAACTAGGGTTTCGAGCCCGAGCCAGCTGAGGCCACGATTCCGACTGAAGCACGCGGGTGGGGCGCCCGGGGTCTTCGGGCAGAGCGGTACCGCTCCTCGTTCCCCCCGTCGAGCAGAAGCAGCAGCAAGAGGAGGAACAATAGGGAGACACGAGTGGGGAAAGGCCCACACCCGGACCCCCAAAACGACCCCCCCCAGGGAACGGTGACACTGGGGTTACCAGTCTAATGATAAAACGGGGCGCCATCCAAGGGGAACACACACACACACACATCCACACACATCCACACACACACACACGAACATCCACACATCCGCAGACACACACACACACACACCCACCCCCACCCCACACCACCCCCACCCCCACCCCCACCCCCAACCCCACCCCACCCCACCCCCACCCCCACCCCCACCCCCCCCCCCCACCCCACCCCCACCCCCACCCCCACCCCCACCCCACCCCCACCCCCACCCCCACCCCACCCCCACCCCCACCCCCACCCCCACCCCCCACCCCCACCCCCCCCCCACCCCCACCCCACACCCCACCCCCACCCCCACCCCCACCCCACACACCCACACCCACACCCACACCACACCCACACCCACACCCCCACCCCCACCCCCCACCCCCACCCCACCCCCACCCCCACCCCACCCCACCCACCCACACGCACACGCACACGCACACGCACACGCACACGCACACGCACACGCACACGCACACGCACACGCACACGCACCCGCACCCGCACCCGCACACGCACACGCACACGCACACACGCACACGCACACGCACACGCACACGCACACGCACACGCACACGCACACACGCACACGCACACGCACACGCACACGCACACGCACACGCACACGCACACGCACACGCACACGCACACGCACACGCGCACGCGCACGCGCACGCGCACGCGCGCACGCGCGCACCGCGCGCACGCGCGCACGCGCGCACGCGCGCACGCGCGCACGCGCGCACGCACGCACGCACGCACGCACGCACGCACGCACGCACGCACGCACGCACGCACGCACGCACGCACGCACCCACACACACACACGCACTGGATGGCCTCGATTGCGATAGCACCCCCTGCGAGGCCCAGAGGGCCCCGAGTGGCTCCAAAATGGAGCGAAAAGCTGGGGGCACCTCTGAGGCTGGGATCACTTCCGGCAACCCTCGATCGCCGTGCCCCCCGCGCCCAGACGCCAGCCGCGCCGCCTCGCTGCGGAGGTCTTCCAGCACGCCCTCCTCAGTGTCGGCCGTGCTGGTGGCGATGCGGACGTGCCCCGCGTCGTCGGCGGGCTTGGCCCAGGGGCAGAAGCCCTCGCCGATGACGAGCTCGTCCACCCACTGCCTCACAGCCTGGCTGTGGCGGTCGCCTTCGACCACGGCCCACGCCTCTGGGCTGCGCGAGGTCCGCCCCCGGCACTGGGCAGGAGTGCTGCGCCAGGGAGCGGCAAAAGCTAGGCGGGGTGCTCCCACCGATGCCGCCGTGCGAGGAGGGGGAGGCCTCTCGTGTTGCGAAGGCGCACCGTGCGAGCTTGCTCGCCTTCAGGCGGTCTGCCTGGCTCCGACCTTGGTTTGGCGGCCTCAAACATGAGCGCTTCCATGCAGGCTGCTCAGAAGCATCGAAGGGAAATCGACGGCCCTCGGGCGGGGGCTAGGGGGGCGCTGCCGAACTTGAGGGTTTCGCTCTGGTCTGGGCGCTCGACACTCGCGGGGCATTGAGCATCGTTTGGCCGACCCATAAATCTATGGGCGTTGCCTGGGCCCCACTGGCTGATTTACCCCCCTGGGTGGGGATCTGTGCTGTGCCCTTCGGGCTTCGAGGGGTGTATGCCCAACTAAGGTGCTGAGTTTGTGGGGTCTAGGTGGATGTCGCGAGGACCTACTGACCGGATCAATCCAGACCCAGGTCAGTCAGGCCTTACATGTTCCTGCAGGATCCTGCAGGATCCTGCACCCAAGCCCGAGTCTGTGCATCCCTGGCCCTGCAGAATCCTGCAAGATCCGGCGCTCTGACTGACCCCCGTTTACATTGACTCCCGTCTTCCGAGCCTCGACTAGGGAAGGCGGTTAAACGATACTGAGGGGCGGCGCCACCACCACCACCACCACCACCACCACCACCACCACCACCACCACCACCACCACCACCACCACCACCACCACCACCATCACCACCCAACCCAGGGCGCGAGCTAAGCGGCGTCTTGCGTTTTAGTTCGGTCTTCGGCTGCCCTCGCCGTGTCTTCGTGCCGCCCCTGCTGCAGAGCGGGGGCAGAACGGGACCTGCCCACGAAAGCGCCCCAAACACTGCGCAACGAGAACCACTGGGGTCGGCTGGGCGATGCCGAGGCGTGCCCAGAGCCAGCGGGGGCCCGCGCAGCCCGCCTCCGCCGCGCCCCCGCGCGCAGGCACCCGCACCTGGCGGCGGAGATAACCGTATGCGGGAGTCTCGTGCCGTGGCGACTTCGGCGTTGGGTTCCGACACCGCGTGGTTCCTTTACCTGCGGCCCAGCAGGGGTGAAGGCACGAAGCCGCGCCGCATCCGCCACTGGGCTGGCGTGCTCTCAGGCGCCTGCGGGAGGTCAGCGCCTTTCAAACTTACGCGCCATCGATGTGTGGTTTTCCCAAGGGAAACAAGCCTTGAATGATCGGCGGCCTTTCGATCGCCAGATCGTTCCGTGTGGCCCGATTCTGGGTCACGGGCGGCGTTCCACCTTGAGAGGCCCGCGGCGGGGTCGTTACGGCGTCAGCACGGTCCCTCTCCCCCCCCCCCCCCCCCCCCCCCCCCCCCTCCCCTCCCCCCCCCCCCCCCCCCCCCCCCTCTCGCAAGGCAAGCCAGGGGGGGACGAAGGAGGGCGGCGGAGAGGAGGGATTTACCGGAAGGGGAAGCGTGGGGGGGCGAGGTGGGGGCGCGGGGTGGGGAGGGGGGCAGGGCCAGACCTCTCCGATGCTGCGGTGGCTTCCGTGCGCGACGAGGCCAGCTTGAGTTCGTGCAGGCGCGCCCCTCCTCGGGCTGCCGAGCATGCCGAGCCGATGCGATCCTAGCAGCGCAGCGGGCCAGCTCGCCCCAAATGCTTCCTCCAGCGCCAGCATACTGGAGGGCCAGGGGGGGCGAGGGTGCGCCCTCTGCTGGCCGGCGAAAAGAGACCTCCTCCTCCCCTCCTCCTCCTCCTCCCCTCCTCTCCTCCTCCCTCCTCCCTCCCTCCTCCCTCCCTCCTCCTCCTCCCTCCCCCTCCTCCTCCTCCCCCTCGCCCTCCTCCTCCCCTCCTCCTCCTTCTCCGCCTCCTCCTCTCCCTCTTCCTCCTCCTCCTCCTCCCCTTCCTCCTTCTCCTCCTCCTCCTCCTCCTCCTCCTCCTCCTCCGCCTCAAACGTTCAAACGCTCAACGTCCAGGTCGACCTGCGGCCCTACCTGAACAAAAACAGAAACTCCTCCAAAGCCAGGAGCAACCGAGATGGGGGTGGGGTAACAGTCAAGGGCGGCTCCACAGCACTGCCACGGGGCCAGGGGGTGGAGAGTTTCTGTCTTTTGCCCCTCTGGGAAAAGCCCCTCTTAATTTTGGAGAGGTCTTTGAGGGATGTGGTGGCTGGGTGGCGCTGGTGCAAGAGCTGCTTCGCCCTCGCCGACGCCATGTGTCCACACTTCATAAAGAAAATCGCAGGAATTTCTGCGCCCTCACTCAAAGCGACCCGAAGATAATGTGGTTACTCCACATCCAAAGCACGTCTGGCAGCCTCGGACAGAGATGGAGAAAACAAGAAGCACCGAGAATTCGCAAGCTGCTTCGATCCTCGACGGTGACACTGTTGGCATCTCCAGCCTCCTGCCACACTATCCCACACAGGACAATGAGGGCGTGGAGGCGTCGGGAAAGCAGCAGCACGGGCAATTCGCGGCAGGCCCCTATACAGCTCCTTGAAGGGGGGGGGGGGCACAAAACTAAACTCTGACACATATTCTTGGCAACATTTTTAAACAATTTCAAGGCCTCCTGGAACGCCTTGAGGTCAGTCTGGCACATGTTATTCGCCACGACAGCCTGCGTGGCTGCATGGTCTGCAAGCTGGTTGCCTCGAATGTGGCATCGCTCCAGCTCAGACCTGGCCAGATCCTCATCTAGGTGGGCCTTCACCTTCACACACTCAATCGTCGGCCGACCAGAAATCCTTCATAATCCAGCGCGTGGCGACGAGTGGCGTTTCGCGATAAGGTGATTGGCCGCTCCCCAGACTACTGCTTGACAATCTGCATGCAAAGCAATTTTGAAATCAGCACACACAAGCGGGGGGTCAAGTCGTCAAGTCCTAAGACCGAGGGCTCCGCGGGCTCCAAGTGTTTTTGGAGCATACACGCGGCCATGTGCTCCGCAACAAAAGCACTCGGTGGCACGCGGACCACATGGCACAACGCGCCCAGCGCGGATCCAAGAAATCCGCGCGGAGCGTAAAGAGTTTATGTTTGTGGCGTTTCTTGTTCGACTCTCCTCCATCAGCCTCTCTCCTCCAGGGCGACCGCAGGCCCTCGAGGGCCTGGAAGCCCCAGAGGGCTCACCAGCCGCGGGCGAGGGCCTTTCGGGGAGCAGCGAGCCCCCCCTTTGGGCCCCGAGCGCCGCCGCCCCGCCCGCCAGCAGGCAGCAACCCCGGCCCCGCCGCCGCGCGCACGCGCTGCGCCGCGCCGCCCGCGCGGACGCCGCGCCGCGCACCGGCAGGCCGCCCGCCGCGGCGGCCGCGGCGGCGATCAGGCCCCGCCGCCACGCCTCGGGGGCCGCCGTGCTTCGCCGCCGCCGCCGCCGCCGCCGCCGCCGCCGCCGCCGCCGCCGTCGTCGTCGTCGTCGTCGTCGTCGTCGTCGTCGTCGTCGTCGTGTCGTCGTCGTCGTCGTCGTCGTCGTCGTCGTCGTCGTCGTCGTCGTCGTCGTCGTCGTCGCGAGCTCGGGGTCCTCCCGGGGTCACGGCGCCCAGCCCTGGCCGCGGCCGAGCGTCAGAGGTCGGGAGGCGAAAGGCCATCGCCCCAACGGGTGCCGCACGCCTCGGCCTGGATGGGGGGTCTCCGCAGCAAGCTTCTCCAGAAGGGGGTCTTCCATGCATAGGGACGAATACAGTCAACGCGTATGACAAGGATGCAAGATAAGGATGCAAGAGGCTTGAAAGGCCATGCCGACACTTTTCGAGCGGGGAACGGCCAGCGAAAGTGGCCAAGGATGGGCTGGAGGGGAAGGATGCAAAAGTAACTTTGGATGGTCGCTTATGCGTACAGTGCGCGTTGAGTGTAGGGTAGAATGTCGTTTGGGTTCCAATACTTCCCGCATTCAGAATGGTCGGGGCCGCGCTGCTTTCCGTTGTCGCCCAAGCACTTGCACCCATCTAGTGAGGCGCATCTCCACGGCCACTCGCTCACTGTGACCCTCCAGGGGCTGGGTACCGCCTGCGCGCCTCGATTGAAAGTAATTCATCATTTCGACAGGGTGGCAAACAAATCAAACAAAACAAACTCATCCATGTCACGCATGCATGCGGAATAAAACTGCCATGTCTTCGTACCACACTGCACCCTGTCGTAGAGTCAGGGCTGCAGTGCGTTCCCAATCGAGGTCTTTGGCTTCTGCGGCGGGTCCCCGCCTTCCCACGGCTGCCACGGCCGAGGGCGTTTGATTTTTCGGGTCAAAACATAAAGCTGTGGGCCAGGGTCAGGGTCAGGGTCGCAGCATGCGCCGGAGCGCGCCCTGCGCGGGCTGCTGCGCGCGTGGCAGCGCAAGCCTCTCTGCTGCCGTCACTCGTTCCTTGAGCATTCTCACACGCGCCGTTCTTGATGATTCTCACACCTCCCACTGCTCCTGAAAATTTTCGCACGCGGCACAAACATTTGCAGAACATGTGATAGAAAGGGCTGTGGACTGGCACAAAGATGATGCGTTGCCAGGGGTGACCTTGACCCAAACCCACCCCAACTTTACCATGACAGCCCACGTGGCCTCTACAGCGCCCCAGCCCACAGGGCCTTAGCGGCTCCCATCATTGCGCGAGCAGCTGGAGGCACCTGGGCGACGAGTATCAACGGGTCGTTAGGTCGAAGGCACGGCGACCTTACGCCGCGGCTGACGCGGGCCGCCACCGCGGAACATCGCGTGGAGAGAAAGGGGCGCTCACGAGCGACATGACGCGGGAAACCAACGCGCGAATGTCTGCGCAATCGACCCCTTCTCTTCCGTTGCTCACTTCTGGCCAGGACCACCTTTGGCAACCTCCGAAATACAGGTCTCCCAAATGGGGTCCGAGCAGATTGGGTCGGAGGTTCGCGCCGCATCGCCGACCCATCGGCAGTGCGCCTCGACGTGGAACCCGATTTTCTCCACGCTGGCGTCGCCGATGCATCGCAAACGTGGCCGATGCATCGCCGACGCATCGGCGATGCAGCGCGATCTGTGATCGGGGAGACATAAGATGCTGGTTCGGAGGACTCCGGATAGCGGGACTCGGGTTGACCTGACGGGGCCGTCAGGAAAACGACTAGACCCAGTCTGAAATTTGAAACGAGCTTACGCAGCACACGCGCTCACACACATACGCACAAACACACACAAACACACGCACAAGCACACAAACACACACACACACGCAGACACACACACACACAAACACCAACAACGACATCAACA